GATGACATTAATTTGAGCACAATTGGACATGTCAAATTGAATGATACACATGATATGACAACGTCTATATTAGGAATTTCATACTCAACGATATCACAATCAATTATTTTAAACTTGTTTTTTATATCTCTATTTGCACTAACTTTTAATTTTATCTCTTGGACTTGTCTCTTATCAGTTCCATAAAAGAGTACTGATTTTGAATGTGTTAATAATTTTATAATCGAATTACAGTCAACTCCAATAGCTAGTACAGTATCACTTTGTTTAAGATGTGACTTTTGCATTATAGTATCAATAATTCCACTGTTGTTGAAAAAATGATTTTCAGAATATTTTTTTGTACTCATAAATTTTGGGTTAAAAAGTTTTAAAAGAAAATGAAAGAATTTGATTACAGAAAAGTAGCTTGGTTATTTATTGAAGAAGGTATTAAGGAAGAATTAGTAGAAGATTTTGTTAAGTTTGAAAATGATTTTGTATTTGTTAATGAACTTTATAGCTATTTAAAAGATAAAAACAACGATTTGTTTAGAATTTATAGCAAGAGGTTGAATAAAGAGATTTTAAATGTTAAATTTGATAAAATAGACATAAAAGAGGATATTTCTCGTAGGAGACAAAAAAATAAAGAGTTTAAGAAAAGATCAAGGAAAAAGAACAAAATTAAACAAAAAGCTAAATTGAAAGCATGTAAAATTGCTAAAGATCGTAGAGATGATAACATAAAGAGAAAAGAACAATATGAAGAGGTAGAAAAACAGATAAGAAAGCACTATAGGTTATAAATAAATTATTTATTTAACCCATAAAATGTTTTTAACATGTGAAGTATGTGGTGAGCAGATGAATCAGATAGATGATTTATTAGTTTGTGAGAATGGACATACTATAACAAGCACTTTAATAGTTAATGATCACACACAGAAATCACTTGGAAAGAAGCAAGTAGTTAAAAAAGTAAAAGCTAAAAAAGTTCTAACTGTTAGAAATAAAGATAAAACACCTGAACAACTTGAAAAAGAAAAGAACATTCGTTATAAAACAAGTTTAATGCTCATTAACGATATTTTTGATGAATTAATCAAAAAGAAGGTTATTAAATCAAAAATAATCTTTAAATATTTTACTGGTTTTTTTGAAAATGCAAGTCCGCCAATTTTTATGAATGTTAGTGAGATTAGAAAAACTTCTTTAAATGACGATTTTTATTTGCGTTCTAAAAAATTTAGTAATTGTGATACTCTAAACATTCCTACATTTTTTGGTATCTCTGATTTATACACAATCTTGTATTTACAAATGAGACATGAACGAGAGAAAGAAGGTAGAGTTCTTTTATTTACAGAGTTTTTTACTTTTATCAATTCATTGTTATTTTTAGACGTTTTTAAAAAATTTACTAAAAAACACAGGTTAAAATCAGGAAATCAAATAATCAATTGGGGAATAGAAAAGTTTAAGGCGATAGTTATTATTGAAGAGAAATTAAAATTTTATGGTAATTATGATAATAGTAAACCTTATTATGATTGTTCATATATAAAGGCTGAATCAGGTGTAATTAGTATAAAAATACAACGTATAAAATTTTTAATAAGATCAACCATTAACTATTCAACTGAGATGGCAAAAACATATGTTGATTGTTTTATTAAAGAATTTAATATTGAAGAGGTGGTTGAAAAAAAACAACTTTATTTTTATTTATACAAATTGGTTTATACAAGGGATAGCAATTTGATTTTTGTTCCTGAAATTGAGTATCTAGTGTTTATTTATTTATATTTACATTCATTTCATAGGGAGCATATTGAAAGAGTTAAAGGTAATTTTGAAAGTTTGTATAAAATCAATGATTTTAATGAGTTTGTGAGTAAGAGAATTGGTCTTTATAATGCCACAACAGATCCACAAGAGTATATTAATTTTATAAACAAGGCACTGATTTGATTGGCTCCCCATTTCATGATTGGCGCCCCATCTTTTAGTTTTAATCCGTCAATTGGATTGGCGCCCCATTTCCTGATTGGCGCC